CAATTGTTCCAGCATCACTTGTTGAAAAGACTCTCCTTTCTTCACTGAACTGCATTTGCTCCTTCGTCAAAGATCTGTTCTCTTGGGACTTCCCTGGTGGTCCAGTGGTTAAGAGTCTGCCTTCCAATGCAGGGGACGCGGGTTCAATCCCTGGTCAGGGAACTAAGATCCCACATGCCACGGGGCAACTAAAGCCTGCATGCTCTAGAGCCTGTGCACCACAACTAGAGAGCCTGCGTGCCGCAACTACTGAGCTCATGTGCTCTGGAGCCCTCACACCACAACTAGAGAGAAGCCCACACGTCATAACTAGAGAGAAGCCCACCCGCGCGCCACAATTCGAGAGCCTGCGCCCTCTGGAGACTGTGTGCCACAACTAGATAGAAGCCTGTGTGCCGCAACCAGAGAAGCCCGAGCGCCAGAACGAAGGATCCTGCGTGCTGCAGCTAAGACCCAACACAGCCAAATAATAATAAAATGAGATTTGAAAAAGAAAAAAAAAAAAAGATCTGTTCTCTTGTGGAACTATTTCTGGGTTTGCTACTCTGTTCCAGTGATGTGTATATCTATCCTTCTGCCAATACCACAGTCTTAATTACTGTAATTATATAATAAGCCTTAAAATCAGGTAGAGAGATTTGTCACACTTTAACTTTTCTTTTTCAAAATTGCTTTAGCTGTTCTAGTCCCTTTGGCGTGTACCTGTGAAAGGCCTTTGGTAACATATTGCCCAAGTGCCCCCAAAAGGTGGTACTAATTTAAACTTCCGCTAGTGGTGTGGGGAAGTGCTGTTTCCATACACCCACACCAGCCCTGGCTGTTATCGTTCTTTTTAAATCTTGGCCTATCTGATAACTGAAAAATTATATCACATCCTTATTTTCAATTGCATTTCTTTGGTTACCTTTGAATCTAGGAAGGCAGCCAGTGCCCCCAGATCTTAGGGTATAAAAGTTTGGTATCCTTGTGACAGGAAGTTCACACTGAAGATTTCAGAAGTGTCCAACAGAGAAAGCAGACAGGTTTGTGTGGTATCCATTGGTGACTCCTTTTCCTCCAGTGAAGGCATTTCATACCCTCTTCCTAACGTGTTCTTCTCGGCTTCTAGAGATAAAATCATCTGTTCAGGCAACCGCCCATGCCCATCTCCAGGTAGGCATCCCTCCACTGAAAAGCCCAAATGTACCTTCAAACCACATTCAAAAGTTGACCACGTCTCACCTGCATTGTCACTACCCTGGTTTGCATGCTGCCATCTCTAGCTTGGATGATTGCCAGTGGCCTCCTAACTGTGTCCCGACTTCTACACTTGTCCCCTAGCATCTGTTCTCAATACAGAACCAGAGGGTTGTCTAAACACAAGTCACAGTCTCTCCTATGCTCAACCCTCCCTTCTCCCCGAGAGTAAAAGCCAAAGTTCCTGGATGGCCTGCCCAGACATCGTGCCCATGTCCTCACAGCCCCCGGTCAGTCACTGTGCTTTAACCACCACGGAGTCCCTGCTCTTCCTGAAACACCCCAAAGTGCTCCTACGCGTTCTTGATTATTTCCTTAGGATTAATTTCTAAACTCCAGTTGCTGGGTCGGGGGATGTACATTTTTAAAAGCTCTTGGAAGTTTTTTCTGCAGGAAGGCAGTATCAATTTCCATGCTTACCAGAAATGTGTGAGTGTGCCTTTTCCCCTACACACTCACCAACTCAGGGTGTTGTCATTTTTAGACAGCCTTTGCCAAGTTGCTCCTTGCCACTGTATTCTCCATGTGAGTTTTATAGAAAGAGCTTTGTATAGCTGGATCTGAAACAACCATTTCATAGCAACTGAGAGATGGTCTTCCTGTGGACGTTTCTTGTAACCATCCTTGATATCAGCCAAGGGCAAGAGCCCAGAGATGTACCCAGTGGAGGAGTGACAAGCTGTCCAGACACAGGGTTTTCCAGGAGTCTGATGCATTGTAAAGGGGGCACTGAGGGGTCTAGGGGAGAGAATGGAGGGCATATATTTTATATGCCACTTTTCTGAATTGTGGCTTTTCCCAGCCAGGCTCTGGAGAGGACCTAGAGAGCCGACGATTCAAGGTTTTGCTGTCTTCCTAAGGCCTGCCCTAGACCCGTGGTCCTCAAACTGAGACAGCCTCAGAATCACCTGTAGGGCTCATTAAAACACAGACTGCCGAGTCAGTAGGTCTGGGATGGGGCCCAAGAATCTGCATTTTTAACAAGTTCCCAGATGATGCTGATGCTGCAAGTCCAGGAACCATACTTTGAGAATTGCTAGCCCAGAGTACTGATGTTTGTTTTGTCTTTTTCCCGCTGGCTCTTTTCCCTTCAGGCAAGATGAGGCACCAGCCTCTGTGCCCCGTGGAACCTCCATTAGGCATGGACCATATTGTAAGGCTGTGCAGTCCTTCCTGGGTCTTTCTCCCCTATTTGGAGGTGGACCCTAGAACGGGGACCACATTTTAGTTCAGTCCCTCCAGTGCCTGTTGAACTTCTCAGCACACAGGACTTCACTGAAAGTTCCCCGGAAGAATTGAGGAGGGATGGAGTGATCTCCACTGGTGACTGTGTAAGAATCGTGTGTGCTGGCCAGCAGATAGGCAAAGGGTGGAGATCACCCTGTGGTTTGAAAGTTGGAGAATTATCCCAGGATTCAGTCTCACTTCCTCTGACCATCAGATTCTGATGTCATCAAGAAGACACTCAGAAATGAAACAGAAAACTCAGACAGTGGGCTTGTTTTACAGGTGAGGCAATGAAGACCCCTAGAGGGGAGTGCCTAACTCAAGGTCACAACCCTGAGTGATGACACAGGTGAGACTTGAGGCCCTGGCTTCCTCGACAGCCCCCTGTAGAGGAAGGCTTTGGACACCTCCCTTCATCCCTTTGGGCCTCTACTTGGTCACCTGTATCCTGAGTATGATACCAACCCAGTGATGCTTTTGTGTGAATTGAACCTGACCAACTGTTGTGTATGCGCTTAGCATCGTGCCTGGTACCCGGAGGGTGTTTGAGACGTTCCCGCCTCAAGTGACTTCTGCTGGGCTTTCCAGTAGCCCCCTCACACCCTACTCAGTGCCATTGTTCTAAAGGGCACTGTGGTCTCTGGCTGCACTTTGTGAGTCTTCCTCTCCAAGAAGCGGACAGGGGAGAAACTGAAGAGCCTTTCCAGTTTCAACACACACCTGAAGGTACAGATGGGACCTCATGTGATGTCAGCCCCCGATCACACTTTGTGTACTTCCCTTCCGTCCTCACCACATCCTCCTGGGGTTTTCAGTGTCAGAGCTCAAGTGGAAGGTGCAGGCAGAAGTTAAATATAGAAAGGCACCTACTCACGGTGAAATGCGTGGGCTGAGCCTCTGGTGAGGGGGCGTAAGCACATGCTAAATTTAGCTGCCCGACTTCCTCTCCTGGCCCCCTACAAGCCATTATGCAAACACGGATGCTTGTCAGTTTCCCGCCCAGGAGGACTTCAAGGGCTGAAGATGAGAACTTGGAAATGAAGCCTGCCGGTTAATCATGGCCTTCCACCCCTCCACTGCCCCATCTTTTATCACTTTTCACCCTCCCAGCAGTTCTGAGACCTGGGCATGGAGCGTGTTGCTGATCTCACTTCACAAATGAAGAGGCCGGGGGACTTGCCCAGCATCCTCGTGGGGTAGAGCCCAGATGTAAGCTCAGGGTTTCACCCTGACTCCCCTCTCAGTTCCTGAGAACCCAGCACAAGAGTGCTCTGGCCATGGTCGTCCAGCAGCCGATAAATAACACCCAGTCTGCAGATGTTCCCCAGGGTCCTGAGCGGTTTGGTAACTGCAGGTGGAAAGGCTGCACACTAAAGAGTATGACCAGGGATGGACCAAAGCCTTGCTACTCAAAGTGTGGTCAGTGGCCCAGAGGCATTGGCCTCACCTAGGAACTCAGAAATGCCGGGACCGAGCCCGACTCCAGACCTGCCTAACCAGAGTCTGTATTTTAATAAGGTTCCCACGTGACTCATGTACATATTTAAGCTTAGGAAGCTCTGGCCTAGTACTTTGAGTGGTGCCCACTTAGAGAATCAGTTCGTGGGACTTTTAGACTCCGAAAATGTGTTCTTTCACTCACTACCTCATTTATTCAGCTGCTATTTATTGATTAACTTCCACATTTGAGGGCTTGTGCTAGAATCTGAGACAGAAAATAGCTAACACTTATAATTATTTGCCATGTGTTTAGACAGCTGTTTTAGATTTATTTGTTTTTAATTGAGATATAATTGACATATAACATTGTATTAGTTTCAGACATAGGACATGATTCAGTATTTGTATACGTTGCAAAATGATCACCACAGTAAGTCTAGTTAATGTCCGTCATCACACAGGGTTACACATTTTTTTTTCTTGTGATGAGAACTTTTAAGATCTACTCTCTTCGTAACTTTCAAATACACAGTATAGTATTATTAACTGTAGTCACCATGCTGTATATTACATCCCAGGACTTATTTATTTTGTAACTGGGAGTTTGTACCTTTTGACCATCTTCACCCGTTTTGCCTGTCACCTATCCCTTGCCTCCGATAACCACCGATCTTTTCTCTGTATCTATGAGGTCCATTTTGGGTTGCTTTCCAGTTTTTGTCTTTCTGATTCCACGTATAAATAAGATCATATGGTATCTGTCTGACTTATTTCACTTTTCATAATGCTCTCAAGGTCCATCCGTGTTGTCAAAAATGGCAAATTTTCCTTCTTTTTTTATGACTGAATCATATTCTTTTGTATATAAATACCACATTTTCTTTATCTGTTCATTCATTGATGTACACTTAGGCTGCTTCCCTGTCTTGGCTATTTTGAATAATGCTGCAATGATCATGGGGGTGCATCTATCTTTTTGAGTTAGTGTTTTTGTTTCCTTTGGATAAATACCCAGAAGTGGAATTACTGGATCACACAGAAGTTCTATTTTTAATTTTTTGAAGAACCTCCATGCTGTTTTCCACAATGGCTGCACCAATTTACATTCCCACCAACGGTGCACGGGGGTTCCCTTTTCTCCACATCCTCGCCAACACTTATTATCTCTCGTATCAGTTTATTTAATCATCACAGTGGCCTATGAGGTAGGTATGTGCAGTTCACAGATGGGAAGCAGGAGACTTCAGGCAACATGTTTGAGGCCATGGTGCTTAGCAAGTGGCAGAGCCAGTATTCGCTCGAGCATCTGGCTCTTAACCAGGAGGCTTGACCTCCTCTAAGGATTAACGAAGAACCAGAGCAGAGGGACCTGAGCAATCAGCTGTGTGGGGGCTTTGTTTTAATTGTGGCTTTAAGCTACAGGGCCATTTATTCAAGTAGCATCTCATGCAGGTTCTGTGCCCTCTGGAGCTCCCTAGAGCACAGGCTGAAAGCTGTTCTCAAGACCAACTTCTTCATTTTGTAGATGCGGGAACAGGGGCCAGAGAGACGAGATGCCTTATCCAAGATCACGTAGCCAATGAAGACAAAGTGAGTCAGGGCTGTGTGGGGCAAAGGTGAGCTCTGTTCCACACGGGGCCATTCCATTCCGGAGAGCACGTTTCTGACTTCTGTTGTAGCATTTCTAAATTGCCTTAGAAATTAAGGAACCCTGATGAGATCATGTTGACTGCTACAGGCTGTCCCCCCAGAATTATTCTCATTCATCTGTCTGTCTGTCTGTCTCTCTCTCTCTCTCTCTCTCGCTCTCTCTCTCTCTCTCTCACACACACACACACACACACACACACACACACACACACACACACACACGGTATGTCATAAGGTCAGAGAGCCCCTGAAGCCCAGAAGGAACCCGGAACCCTGGGGTCAGGAATCTTTGTCTGGGTTTCCTGTCTTTGCTGAAAACCTGTGCAGGGGGAGGTGAGAGGCGCTCAGATAGGTGCTGGGTGAAGGGCCAGCCATGGATGCCAGAGGGTGACCCACTGGGACCAGCAGTGCCGAGTGGGAAGTCACACATTTCAAACAAACCTCTTTTTACACCCACATCTCCCAGATGGTGACATTCACTACTTAGAACTTGTTGAAAGTTTGGAAGGAACCCCTGCTGGGACTGAAAACAGACTCCTCATTCAGGCTCTGGCCTGAGTGGAGGAGAGAAGGGCGGTGTGTGTTGACTGGAGCCTACCACCTTTGCGCCAATATCAGGTTTTGCTAAAAGCAGTCAACCCTCTTTATTGATCCTGTCTGGGGTTCTCTGCCGGCAGAAGAACCACCCGCTCTGCATGTGTTGAGGGCCGAGCAGTGCCCCCCACCCCATGCTCCTGTGCACATCAGTCCACAGAGAGTCCTCACCAAGCAGTGTCCCCAAGTTACAGGTAAGGAAACTCAAGTTTCAAAGAGGCTGAATCACCGACCCAGAGGACCCCACTAGTAGGTGGCAGAGGGCGTTTTGCATTTGGATTAGTGGCCCTGGTTCAGAATGCGGATACTGGGTTTAGACCCCAGCAATGTAGCCGACCAGCTGGTGGGCCAGCTGAGTGACCTCTCGCTTCGCATCTCCAGCGTCCACGCCACGTAATAGCGTCAACGCCAGAGAGCTAGCATGAAGATTAACGTGACCAAAACACTTAGAACAGTACCTGGGGGATAAAGAATACTCAACAAATGTTAACTGCCTTTATTATGGTTGCAGTGATGACTGTGTTACTTTAGAGTCTCTATAGACGACCCCCGACCTACGATGGTTCAACTTATGATTTTACAATGGTGCAAAAGCAATATTCAGTAGAAACTGTTTTTTCTTATTTTGAATTTCGATCTTTTCCCGGGCTAGTGACATGCAGTACGTGATCTCTCCTGATGCCGGGCAGCGGGAGCTGCAGCTTCCAGTTAGCCATGCGATCACCAGGGTAAACAACTAATACGCTTACAGAAAGTGTTGTTCACTTTCAATACAGCATTCAGTAAATTACACGAGATAGTCAACATTTTATAATAATGGGCTTTGTGTTAGGTGATTTTGTTCAACTGTAGGCTCATGTAAGTGTTCTGAGCACATTTAACAGAGGCTAGGCTAAGGGGTGATGTTCAGTAGAATAGGCTTATTAAATGCATTTTCAGTTTATGGTATTTTCAATTTATGATGGGTTTATCAGGACATAACCCCATCATAAGTTGAGGAAGATCTGTATTCAAATGTTACCACCCTGATTGCTTTTTGTAAGTGGGTGGACCACAGTTTCCCATTCAACAGTTGAAGGAAGTGGGGCAGGGAGAGGGGTAATGGGTTCTCTATGATCAGGGACAAAGCAAGGATGCATCTGGTTTTGGTGTGTCATTTTTCCATAAAGCCAGGGCTTCTGGTCACCTGCCTGGCCCTTGGCCTCTTCACTTCACTTGGCTCTCCCTGAGACAGAAGGCCCCTTGGAACCTGAGGCCAGTATGCTGGGGTCCTAGTGTCAAGCCAATCTTTGCAAAGACTCAGACTTTTAACTAGGTTCCCACTTTGCACTTGAGACCAATCTCCTTCATTCCACATCTGTAAAGTGCCAACTCCATGCTAGGCACTCAGGACAAAATTACAAGAGATACTTACATAGAAGTCGTGTTCCTATCCTGGCCCCCGCCTCAGGAATGATGTCCTTCCATTGCTGCCTTGGTCCCTGTGTTGATAACACACCTGCTTCTACAGGCCGTCTGGGTTCTTCATGCCAGCAGCTTTCTCTCATCTGATTACTTTCTAAGGATGAGCAAACACTCCTGAGTGGAATCACTGGGTCAAAGGAAATGATATCTTTTTAAGACTTTTGATCCATGTTCTTAATTGGCCCCCAGGAAGACACCATCTTAAAGATGTTCAGGGACTTCCCTGGTGGCGCAGTTGTTAAGAATCCGTCTGCCAATGCAGGGGACACGGGTTCGAGCCCTGGTCCGGGAAGATCCCACATGCCGCGAAGCAACTAAGCCCGTGTGCTCTAGAGCCCTCGAGCCACAACTACTGAAGCCTGCGTGCCTAGAGCCTGTGCTCTGCAACAAGAGAAGGCACCGCAATGAGAAGCCCGAGCACCACAACGAAGAGTAGCCCCCGCTCGCCGCAACTAGAGAAAAGCCCACGCGCAGCAACGAAAACCCAGTGCAGACAAAAAAAAAAAAAAAAAAAAAGGTGTTCATTCCAGCATTGTTTACTTACACCCAGCAATAGTCTATCAGTAAGGGATGATTTGCATTAAATGTTATCAGTCTACACAGTACAATACCACACAGCTATTGAAGGGGGTGACATAGGTGGGCATTCAATGACTTGAAAAGGCACTGATATGGATAAATGAAAAACATGGTACATCTAATAGACATAAGAAATAAACCCAAACTGCATCGTGCATAGAAAAGAGTATATCAAGAAGGACACCAAGCGTGAACAGTGGTGATCTCTGGGGTGGGATTATAAGTCATATTAATTTTCTTTTTATACTTTCTGAAATACTCACAATATGTACTATTTTTATAATCAAGAAAAAAATTGATTCCTTCCCCTTTCCTCATCCCCCTGCCAGAAATGTGGGTGGGAGTTGCCAGTGGCCTTGGTGGTGGGCAGCTGCCAGATGAGGTCCTGGGTAACCGGCACCAACATGGGTGCATGGTGGAAGCTGATGGGATCAGGCCCGGCTGGTGGGGGGGGCGGGGGGGTACCCTGCACAGCACCCTCTGGGTTCCAACTGGCCCCGTGTGTCCTCAGGATCAAACATCTTGCTGGTCCAGGGTTCCCTCCCCATCTTTGGCCTTGGTTCTCATAAGCGGGGCTGAAGTTTCCTCCTCACTCCATCTTCTCCCCTGTCCCCTCCCCTCTCCTCCTCCTAACGCTGAGGTCTGCACATTACAGTTTACTGCTTACCTTACCCCCTTCCTTAACCTTCCCTTCCCTTCTCCTGTGGCAAGCATTTGACCTTTAAATCAGGCAGACCTGAGTTCACATCCTACTGCAGTCCTCAGTTTCCTTATCTGCAAAATGGGAGTCATAGTGCCCTCTTTGTAGGGCCGAGGGGTGATTAGTGCTGAGTGCGCTCCCTGGCCCACAGCTCCCCTGGCCTGCGGCTACGCCATTGCACCAGGTTGCATGCTGGCCCTGCCTGACTTTCTCATTACCTGGTCTGAGTGTCTGAGAGGGAGCGAGTCAGGGTATTTATACCGTGCATCCATCAGCCAATAGTTAGGAGCTGGCCCCTGGGCAGGAGCACACTGACTCCCAGGCCCTTCCAGCCCTCTGCGCAGGCAGGAAAGTGAGTTCCAGTGGCTGAGCGCAGTGCTGGCTGCAGAAGTCAGGCTGGTGTACAGGGAAACGACAAAAGGGCCAGGTGGGCCCCTGACAGCGTCTGCTCCAGACCTGGCTGGTTGGCGTAGCCCATGCCATCACCGCCGCGGGATGACCCCACACCAGGCCACCTGTGGATTACAGCAACCTAGGGAGATGTGGGTGCCCTGAGTCAGGTGCCACCGCAGCCCAACTGAGACCTGCCACCTTCATGTAAAGCTTCCCTGGACAGACGCTTTTGTGCTCCATGTTCAGGGACTTAAAGAATACTGAGCCCCTTAGACCATTCTTATCAGGAGGAGCGTGACCAGGAGGTTGGAATGGGAAGGGGAGTCGGTCCCATTGCCCTTGCTTTCCACAGTCACGCAGAGGACAGACTGAGGACTTCAGAGCCAGTCCCAGGCCCTGTTTTCTCAGCAAATATGCCACCTTGTGAAGTCCCAGGTTTCTAATCTGAAAATGAGGTTGATGACAAGTTGGCGTGAGAAGTAAATGGATAATGAATATGAGGTGATTAGTAGAGGCCCAGGCATTTGGTACCCATTATTACTATTGTCTTTATGGAAGATAATTTTTGTCTAAATATAATTAGTGGTTTATAATCTATAGCTCTTCTTACTGTATTAGCCACAGAGAGAAACCATGGGGCCAGCAGGCAGTACATCAAATTACTTATTTAGACTGGGGACAGGAGGGGTGGTGTAGCCACCTCAAATATTCTATTTAGGGCCAGAAAGGATTAGCACCATCTAGGCTGAGGGGAGTCACTAGTTCTTTGTGACGTAGCCATTTATTCATTCATTCACCTATCCATTCAACAAATGTTGATTGAGGATTATTATGTGCCAAGCACCATGCTAGGTACCAGATCTCCTAGAGGTTACTGGTAGTTGTTGAATCCCCAGCTAGGAGGCCTGGGACGCAGGTGCCACATCCCCCTTCTTAGGGGGTTTGTTGTATTCCCTCCAGTGGAGAGGGGAGAGCCTCTGGCCAGAACATTCTTCCCATATCCCCACTCTCGCAGCCTCAGTCTCATTCAGGCTTTTGGTCCTCCACGTCATGCTGCTGTCTACTGGGGTCCTCCGAGTCATGAGCTGCCTGGAAAGGTGGGACCGAGGGCCACAACAGCCCCTCCCTTTGTTCAAGTAAAGCCACAAGGTGTGTCCATAGCAAGAGCCCCAGGCCAGGGTTCCTCTTCTTTGTGCTTCTCAACTGTGGGTGCCCATGTCCCTGGGGTCCATGCAGGGTGCCAAAGTCCTAGGGAACCACGCGTAAACTTGGCTGACCTTTCAGTTGAAGAATTAAATGCATGCATATTTCATCACATGGAGAGATACATGCACAGACTGTGGAGCAGAATTGTATATGTGCGTGGATGTTAGGGATGAAGCAGGAGACTAAAGGCGTGTTGGCTTGTGGGGCCTGCTTTGGGTCATATCCCTGGAACTCCTGCGGGGAAACATTTCGGTGTCCTCCCCCCTTAGGCTTGCTTTGGTGGAAAGATTTGAGAACTTCACCAGGGTGACATTCAGGTGACGATGACCTGTACTCCGCCTCCTTGGTGGGGTTAGCATGGAGGGAGGGTGCCAGACTTGTGAGAGGAGGGAAGGGAATCACTGTCTAGGGGCCATTTGGGCTGAAAGTCCACAGAGAGGAGAAACTGAGGAAAAGAATCCATCTCCCTTCTTTGGTTGGTGCTGGAGCCCCCAGCTTTTGACCAGAGCCTAGCACCTTCCAGAACTAGAATTCATAAGACCCTGGCTGATGTTGAAGCTCTTTTGAGATCTATGCTGCTGGCTCTTTCGCTCCCTTCAGGCCCTGCTCCCACAGCACCTGATCAGAGAGAGCCTCTCCAGCCACCCTTCCCCCTTCACCTCTCCATCCACCCTGTCATCTTCCAAAAAAGCTGGCCTGCTTCACGGCACTTGGCAGGTTAGATAGGTATGTGTTGGGATGTAAGCTCTGCAAGGGCACGGGCTGTCTTCTCGTTCACTCCTTGAATGAACACACCATATAAAACCAGGCTTAGCCAGGATCTTACTGAGCGATACCATCTACGGAACAGAATTTGCAGACAACCAAAACCAAGACAAGAAAATGCAGCTCAACACAAGAACATAAGCTCCTATTAAACATTTAGCCCCTAAAACATAGCTTCCGAGGAGTGTCAGGAACTCAGCCCCCTTGGACATAATCTCCTAAAGCTTCTTCATCCTGCCCGTCTGGCCAGCACCTTCAGATCATGGCTTTACTTTGTACTTGGCTATCTCCCCAAAGACTGGGAACCTCCAGTATCAGGGACCTGGTTTGATTCAGCTCTTTCCACTGCATCCATAGGCACTTAGCAAAGGTTCAGTGACATAAATTTCAAAAGGCTGCCTGGCCTCTGAGCTCCACACGATAGGGAAGGGCTCTATTTGTTACCAAGGAGGAGAGGAGACTAAAGATGGGAAAACGTGTGATGAGAGTTTTCTGGTTAATCCATTTCTGCTCAGAATATCTGGAAGGCCCCTCCCCTCGCCCCTTCCCCTTCCGTTTCCCAAGGACTCTGCTTGATCAGGTGCGTCCCCATTAATGTGATGGTGCCTGATTGCATCCATGCAGGGAAGGGGAGAAAAATGCAACCGCTCAGATATCTGCCAAGCCTTACTTAGGGTCAGGTCCCCTGTGCCCAGGAACAGAGAGGGAAGTGAGGAGGACCCTACCCCCCGTTCTGGTGGGGGAGAAGAGAGAAACCTTTATGAGCAGACAGTATTCACCAGTGAAAGACAGCTACCAGCCCCCAGGGATGGCCTCCAGCAGGCTCAGGCCTTGAAGGAAGGGTGGGACTAGACATGCAGGGAGGGGTAGCCGTTCCTCCACCATCTCCCCTTATCCTGTGGTTCGGAGTTGCTCTTCAAACACTGACTGTGATTGGAATTGACGTGTTTCACCAAATGGCCACACACCGATTATTGATTGAACAGATACCATTCGTCTGTTTGTTTGTTCATCCAGTGCCTGCCCTATGTTGGGCCCTGTCCTAAGTGCTGAAGATTTGGCAACACAGAACAAGACAGACAAGGTCCTTTCCTGCTCTTATGAAGCTTCCACAGCAGGGGACAGTAAACAAGTCACAGCTCACGTTGGGAAGATGTCTGCCATGTCAAGGCATTTTTTGTACAGAGTTCCTCAGTGGGGTACAGCTGACACTTCTAGGGGCAGCTCTTTGTTGTGCAGGCTGGCTAGAATGTTGCAAGATTTAGTATCTCTAGTTCTGTGCTCTGTTCTCAGAGACACTCTTCCCCATGACCCACTCCAGTCATTGGAACACCCAAGCACCCACCCACAGTTAAATACGCCTTATCGGGATATGGTCCTGCCCCCCAGTAGAAACACGACGCAATCTCATTTCATCCTCACAACTACCTCATGAAATTGGTTCTGTTACTGATCCCCAGTTTTACAGATAGTGAAACTGAGGCGCAGAGACGTTCGGCAACTCTTTCAGGGTCATGCAGTTGGAGTGATGGATCTGAACCCATTGGCTTTGGGAACCGTCCTCCTCACTGCTCTATCACAGCCTCTCAAACAAGCTCAGAAACGGGAGGTTCTAGGCTGCGAGGGACACGATGCTAAAAATAAATGAAGGTGTTGTGATTATGAGATGAAGTGTTTCCTACGTGAAGCACTGTTTTAACCCACTGGGGAGAAAGGACAGAGTAATGAGACTCAACCTCGGGTTCCTCACTGTGCTTTGCACACAGGCATTCTGAACACAGCACTAAAGGTGTGTGTGGGGGTGGTATGTGTGTGCGCACAAGTGATCTGTACTTTAGTGAAACCCTCTCCCTTGTAGGGAATATCCTGCTCATTGAGGAATAATTATTCATGTGAAAGTCACTCACCAGGAGACTTACACATGGAACAGAGGAAAGGCAAGGTTGAGCAAAGCCAGACTCTGGGAAGGGAGGCAGCCCTCTTTCTCTCTCCATATCCAATCAGTGGAAGAGTAATCAGTTAACTGCCTGTGGTGTGGGTCTGAGCCATCAGTAGTGAGGGAAGCTTCGGAAGCTCATTTTTGTTTAGTGCCCCCACTGTGGCTGGCATATAGTAGGTATTCAAACGTTGGAAGGATGGATGGATGGATGAATGGGTAGGTGGATGGATGTGTGGGTGGGTAGATAGATTGATGGATGGACGGATGGACAGATGAAATTTGGTGCCAGTACCACAGGAAACTTCTGGTTTCAGAGGCCAGATGTGTTCAGGGACCAATTCAAGATGGTATAGAATTAAGGGCTGAATTACAAATCATGATCAATTCTAAAAAGCATTTGTTTATCTTTCCTCAAATCAAATGAAGAATAAGGAGAACATCTTCTATCACTTTTCTTGGCTGAGCAATGTAAACGAACACCTGGGCCCTCAGTCCTCTTAGCACATCTTAGGCAGTTGAAGGGAACGTCTAAGACTTGCTGAGGACCTACTTTGTGTCTGTCGTTTAACAGACATCATGACTTTTAGTTTTCAAAGTAGCCCTGCATTTGACAAGTCAGTAGGTTTAGGCTACTCAGATAACCCAAGCAATGGGCACAAGGTCATGTCATCAGTGGCTGAGCTGCAAATCAAACCAGGCTTGTCCGTTTCTACAGCCCCACCCCCTCCCCGGCATGCACAGGAAAGCAGACAAATAGGGCAGTGTTTCTTCAAGCAGCGACCTGCATGCTTGCAACCTCGTGTGACTCACCTGTGTTGTGCGTTATCTCCCAATGCAACGCGGCACCTTGCCAGAGACCCAAGGGCAAGAAATTGGGGGTGAGGATTAAAGAGGAAGGAGCTTGGGCTTCCCTGGTGGCGCAGTGGTTGAGAGCCCGCCTGCCGATGCAGGGGACACGGGTTCGTGCCCCGGTCTGGGAGGATCCCACATGCCGCGGAGCGGCTGGGCCCGTGAGCCATGGCCGCTGAGCCTGCGCGTCCGGAGCCTGTGCTCCGCAACGGGAGAGGCCACAACAGTGAGAGGCCCGCGTACCACAAAAGAAAAAAAAAAAAAGAGGAAGGAGCTTGGGTTTATTTCCACTGTGGAGCCCAGAGAGGGCAGCTTCATCAGCCCCCTGAGGCGAGGGTGGGTGGGGATGTGAGGGGTGGGTCAGCATTGTGGGAGTGAGCAAACTCCCAACACAGAAAAGCCAGCTGGGGACCCAGACTCTGCTTGGAGAGTGCAGGGGGGGAGATGGGAGAACAGGGGGTTCCCCTCTGGTTACTCCACTGCTCCTCCAGTTCTGTCTAACATGGCTTAGCTGTGGGGAGGGAAGAGGGGGAGGACCGGGAGACAAGAAAGAAGGAAAGAGAAGAGGCGGCCTACCTTCTTTCTTTGAAGGCAAACAGATCTGTGCTCCTACTGCAGCCTTTCCCTGTCCCAGCTGTGTGATCAGGGGCCAGTCACTTTCCCTCTCTGAGCCTCAGTTTGGGCCTCCCTGGGTTATCTTAGAAATTAGACAAGATGCCATATGGAAAATGCTTGGCCAGAAATTGGTTCCTCTTCCTCCCCTCCCTTCCCTGGCACGTCTGATGAAGAGAGAAAAGCACCAGCCTTTGGCTGGATACAGCGGGGACTGAGCGCTCACTCCCTCCAGCTGCCCCCGCTCCTTCCTGCCTTCTTGTGGGCCTGGTTGCCCTCACCAAGGATGCTTCTGCCCACCGAAGGGCAGAGACCATGAGTCATGTCAGGTGGCATCTGAGAAGGGGCTGCTTCATGGACTCTGCAAGTGGACCCTCCAAAATCCTCAGAGATGACACCATGGCCCCACGAGGGCATGAGGTTCACGTGCGTCACACAGTGGGGAATGAATGGCAGCGCCAGGCTAGCCCCAGGACCACCAACTCCTCCTGTAATGTTCGCTTCCCGGTTTCTCCTGCCTCTCTGCCCTCTCGGCCTCTGTACGGTTGGAGGCTTCCTGGCTGCTGCTCGCAGGAGGAAACGTGAGCAGTCCTAGCCCAGGCCTGTGCGATGAGGGTGTTTATTAATGTCTGTAGAATGAACAAATGAATACAAATGACCCCTCACCTAGAGCCAGGCTTGCTGTTCGTGTTAGTTTTCTCCTTCTTCCCCACTCTTGGCCCCCCAGAATGCTGTTGGGGGTTCACCCTGCCGGGACTGGAGAGAGAAGCGGACAGTGTCATTCCAGAACCTTGTTGAGCATCCCAAGGTCTGTTCCCTCCTCCAGGTTCTCCAGGTGTAGCTGTGTGCGGGTGACGGCCGAGCTGCAGAGTCCAGGGAGCGACGTCGGTGGTCTTGCCCCACCTGAGTGCCCTTGCCGGCTCCCTGGCTGCCCCGCCCCCAGCAGGTCTTGCAGTAGCTGCTTTCTGGATGGCCTTGGAGGCAGCAGAAGCTCAGGGCCGTGGGGCCCGGGAGCACAGGGGAGGGGGGTCACACCGTCACCAGGGCCCATGTCTTCATCCCACCTCCTGGCCAGCAGTACTGTTCGGTGGACAGAGTATGGGGGAACTGGACGATATAGGCTTGAGTCCTAGATCTACCACTTTTACTGTGTGACCTTAGGCAAGTCACTGTTAACTCTCTTTTTGTCATCTTTAATGTGAGAACAGACAATTTCCCACTTACAACAGGGTTGTGGGTTGGAAAGGGCTGTCCGTGACTGGATGTTGGGGTGACTGTGAAGACGCTTTGGAAACACCTGAATCATGGTCATGTGGGAATGTGGCTTCCCCGCCATTGGGCTGTTACTGGTGGTCCCTCTTCTGAAGCAACCCGGGGAGCCAAACTAGAGAGCCGGAACTAGAGTCTTGGCCGTAAGCAACTCGCATGGTCTCTGAGAGCCTCAGGTTTTCTCATCTGTAAAGTGGGCGTGATGACCCTGTCTGCCTCTCCAGGGTCATCTGTAAGCATGTGAGATAAGATTGCGAGTCTGTGGTTGAGAAGTACTTTTTAAACAGTAGGTGTATTTGGGTGCAGTTGGGGGAGGGTCTGAAGAAGCTCAGACTTCCTTCCGAGAGAGAGGCAGATGGGGGAGGGGGGAAACCTGGCTCTTTCTCTCACGAGCTAAGTAACTACCGAGGTTCCATTACTCACACAGCCCGAGCCTCTATGTTCCCATCTGCCAAGACTTAACGTGTGCCCAGGGCTCAATGGACAGTCTCTAGGACAGCCTGTCATGCTCACCTCCGCTTCTGGAAGGAGTGGCCCGCTGACCCTGGGCCTCCCTCTCTGGCCGCCACCACCCTTGGTCAGCAGAGTCTCTCTGACCTCACTCAGCTCCTGCCAAAGTGCTCCCCCAGCCTGGCTTCCTGGAGTTCCCTGGTCACCACCGATGCTCTGCTCATGTGATCTCCAGCTCGAGATGTCGAAATCCCATACTAGGCTGCCCGGAAACCCCTAGCCGGTGGGGCCGACGGGGCAGGGGCAGCGAAGGCTCCTCGGGTATTGCCACACGGGGAATCTATGCGGACACTGTTGTCAGAAGTTCCTGTTTCCTCTCCTAGGAGCAGTGGACGGCTGGGAGAATTTGGGCTTCTGGTGGCTCTGAGATTATTCTGGGCACGATATCATCCTAGGGATGCTGTATCTGGGGGCCCTCATGAAATGCTGTGGTGTAATGGTGCCACATTCCATTACAAGCAGAAGGAAGATGCTGGAATCCACCTCCTTGGGGGTCTGAGTGCTGATATGGGCGTTTTTCTGCTCACAGGTTTCTTTACACTGTTCACAGGGACAGCAGAGGGCGGGGAGGCTGGCTGTTTGTGGTGAGCCTATGACTCCTTACAGCGTCAGCTCACGTGCTTCTGAGGCTGTTGCCCCATTTTACTGATGAGGAGACTGAGGCATGGGGAAGAGAACTGACCAGCCCCAGGCAGGACAGTTCAGGGTTGTCCAACTACAGATCTGTTGGGCTCTGCCTGGGTTTGCTAGTTTATGTCCTAGTCCAGGTGCTGGGAGCCAATCGGCTGTGTGACCTTGAGCCAGTCACCTGATATTTCTGAGCTCCAGTTTCTTTCTCTATTTCATGAGAGGATTGGACTAGCTCAGTATTTCTCAAACCTTTTCACAAAGAAGGTTAAATGAATTTCTTGGGAGTCTTGTGTTTTCCCTTAAACATTCTGATATCATTTTGTGTTCTCCATGATTTTATCAGGGTTTATTTTAATTTTTTAAAGTATTGTGTTTGTTTCTCCCCTAAATCTTTAAGTAGACTTGTTGCTCTGAGGTGTGTCATGTGCTCCTGACACAATGCTGAGCTTCCGCCTTGGCTTGACCAGCTCCTCCTTCCTAGAGGGAAAGGCCTGGGGCAGGCCTGCTCCATTGGGCTTCCCTCCCATCAGCAGCACAGGACTCAGGCCTGGGCCAGAGCAGGATGGACGAGGACCCTGCCCTCCGGAGAGGTGGCCAGCACCAAACTCGAGTCTCAATGGTACCAGCTGTGGCCTTAGGCAAATGACATGCCTGAGCTTCCTGGTCCTCTACAGACACAGGCATGGATCCAGATCCTTCTTCACAGGATTACGGTGGCACAGAAGAGAGCAGGGGTGGGAGAGGTCCCAGTACGGACCTGGCATGAGGGATCTGCCAGGACAGGTTAATGACGCCTGCTATATTTTGGGACCGCAGAGCCTCACAAATCTGTAAGCCATTTCCCCATAAAAAGCCCCTTTTCCAAAAATATCTCCCTCCCCAGTTTTGTCACCAGCCTGAGGTCCTCAAGGTCACCAAGGCCTTAGGTGAAAACCTGGACGGCCCTTGTTAAAATGCAATTGTTCTGCAGAAGTGCTGGCGCAGAGTTCCACACCCCACCTTCCGTGTAATTAGCCACGTGGCCTCGGCAAGTCATTTGCTCCTTTGAACTTCTGTTTCTTCATCTGTGAGCCGAGGGTGCTAGAGCAAACAAGTTGCTGTAAACTAGCCTCTTTTCATGGCGCCCAGAGGTTAGGGGACAACAGATGAGTCAAGGGGCCGATGCAGCCCAAGACAGTCCAATGACGGGGCATGTCACAGGCCCTTTGGGGATACAGAGACACACCAGCCAGGCTTGGAGAGTCAGAGGCCTTTCAAAGCAGAGGTAGGGGTCTCCTCTGAGATACAAAGGATGGCAGGAGGTAGCCAACCAAAATGGGGCTTTGGGACATCTCAGACAGTGGGAGCAGAGGAATGTAGGCCAAGCACCGCACCAGGCTCCGTCCTGAGCACTCAGTATCTTAATTAAGGCTCCAGACAACCAGCAAGTAGTTACTGTCCACCCCACTTTGCAGGTGAGGAAATCGGGCTGAGATCCATTAAGCAGCTTGCCCGAGGCCACCTAGCTTGTAAGCAGCTCAGATGGGCTTCAGACCCAGACTACACAGACGCCAGAGTCTATGCTCCTAAGTGGGTAGCGCCTTATAGCTGGAAACAAGGGGCTGTGTTTCTCAGCAGATAAAGGAAAGAGTGAAGAAGGCCTCACTTTGTGCTTGGTGCCGGGAGGGTGGGTAGGGGTGGGCACCGGGGTCTGGGAAGTGGACGGTGGCTGGAGCCTGGAGGGGTCACGTTGGCCTCTCTGTGTAGAGGAAGAGCCAGTACGCCTTCTGGTCCTTCAGTGTTTCCCTCAAGGCCTCACTGTCTGATGGGCTGTTATGTCCGAGCTGCTGAAGGACACGCATGTGGTCCTCTCTGTACCTTACCCCTGGGCATCCAGGACAGGGTCTCGGCATCAATGAATGTTTGCTAAAGGAAGCCACAGATGTGTACGCTGCTTTTCCAGTACTGCCTTTGCCCGCGGTGGACGCTCACAAGATTTTGGGGGCGTGGAAGGTTCAGCCTTCTCATTTCACAGATGAGAAAGCTGGGATCCAGAGAGTGAATGTTCTTAAGACCGCTGTTCAGATTACAGTGTTCCCGGGGTCCCCCTGTTTCCCTGAGGGAGAAGG